TTTAAGCTGAGCCATCCTGATCAGTGGCTGCTCAGCTCGGGCCAGGAATTGAACCGCTGTTGCTCAGAGCTCAAACTCTTGAGTGAGCTCTTAACTAACTGAGCCACTTGGCTGGCTAAGAGTATTTTTAAAGGCAAAAAGATAATCGTAAAATAACCATAAATGATAAATCATAAAATGACAATCATAAGGTAAATTTTGATAAATTCTATATTAAAATTAAGAACTTGCACTCATCAATCCTCTTTAATGTGAAAAGCCTAGATACTGTTAGATGATATTTGCAAAATATCAACCAATAAAGGAGCAGTACCAAAAATATATAAATTCCTGCAAATAAATAAAGAGAAAGACAAGCCAATAGAAAAGGAGGCACAAAATATAAATAGGCACTTCACAGCAAAGAAACATATATGGTTAATAAATACATGAAGAGATGCTTCACTTCTAGTTAAGAAAATGCAAATCAGGACCACAATGAGATAACATTTATATTGTCATAAAATACACATAAAATTTACCATTTAATCATTTTAAAGTGTACAATTCAGTGGCTTTAAGTCCATTCACAATATTGTGCCATGATCATCACTAGCTCCAGAACTTTTTCATCACCCCAACAGGAAAACCCATATCCTTTAAGCATTCTCTCTCAATTCCAACTTTCCCCCACTTCATGGCAACCACTAATCTCCTTCTGTCTCTTCGAATTTGTCTATTCTGGATGTTTCATACAAATGGAATCTACAATATGTGGTCTTCTGTGCCTGGTTTCTTTCATTTAGCATAATGTTTTAAAGGTTTAACTATATGGTAGTATGTATCAGTACTTCATTCCTTTTTATGGCTGAATAATATTTCATTGTATGTGGCTATACCACTTTTATTTATTCATCAGATGACAGACACATTGGGGTTGTTTCCATCTTTTGGCTATTGTGAATAGTGCTTCTATGAACATTAGTGAAATTGCATTTTATACTTGTTTGGCAAAAAGTTAAGTAGATAATATCGAAGTATTAGAGAGATCTCTTCAAGGGTATTTAAAGTTGTTTAATCATGTTGGAAAACAACTTGGCATTATCTTTGAAAATTGAACATTCACATCCTCTATGATCCAGCAATATCACTCCTAGATATATACCCAAGAGAAACTTGAGCATGTAAGTACCAGGAGATATAAATAAGAAAGTTGTTGCAGTACCATTTCTTTTTTTTTTTTTAAATATTTTATTGGGGAATTGGGGTAGGGGAACATTGTTGAGAAATCGGGGAAGGGGAACAGACAAGTTGCTGTCCTTTTGTTTTTCAGTCTAGTTGTGGAGGATGTCGCTTCACTAGCTCATGTTGGTATTATCATTGCACTCTTCCCGAATGAGGCAGATGGGTCGCCAGCTTCTGGACGACTGCTCACAGCGGCTCTTGGCAGCTCATGCCAGCTGCCGGCCACTTACGGTAGCTTATGGCAGCCCACTGCAGGAGGGGCTGCAGCCTATGCCGTCGCAGGCGACCCACGGCAGCCCAGCTCCAGGTCGAGCTGTTGTTCACCATCTTAGCTGTAGAGGGCGCAGCGTCACTGGCCCTCATGTGGGATCTGAACTGGGGCCCTGCTGCTCAGAGCTGGTGTCCCAAGCCAGCTCTTAACTAACATGCCACTCGGCCGGCCCTAGAGTACCATTTCTAAGGGGAAAAACTTGAGCCACTCAAATGTGCATCAACAGCCATTTATTTTAAATGAAATTTTATTAGGGTGACAATATTAGTAAAGTTACATAGGTTTCAGGTATACAATTCTGTAATACATCATCTATATATCACATTGTGTGTTCACCACCCAGAGTCAATTCTCCTTCCATCACCATATATTTGCATCAACAACTATTTGTTTCAAGGAGTTCTGGTATAAAGGAAAAGAAAGAAATGGAACAGAAGTGGGGGGTTGAAAATTTTTTTTCTTTTTAAGATGTAAGAAAAAAAATAGTAAGTTTGTATGCTGAAGAATAGATTCTATGGGTAAGGCAGAAAAAAATGCTGGAGAACCTGATTTCTCTGACACTTAGCCTGGATTTGTTTCCCAGTTCTGGGGGCTGTACATATGCTCCAGTTTTAAGTTTTACCTATCCTTCACTCACCCTTCTTAAACTGCAAGGTCAAATAGAGCACATCAACTAAATACCCAAAGGATACTTGTACTTATTGTAACTCCTACAGAGAAGTTGACTGGTCCATTTTCCATATCACCACAGAAATCAGATCCAACTTACCCTATGCCTCCATTCTTAAGTTATTGTAAGGCAGTCAAAATGAATTAACTAGCATCACAGGTAAAAACATGGAGTCTTAGTAACAAATTGTTGAGTGAAAAAGGTTAAGTTGAAGACTACCTGTAGTGTGATATCCTCTTAAAAATATTTAAATACAAGCAAAATGAAACAATATGTACCATGTATTTTATAACATGAATGCAAAACTACAAAATTCAGGACAATGATTACCTCTGGGAGAACAGAAAGACAAGGAGCACATAGATCTAAATCATTGGTAATCTCCTAGTTCAGTGGTTCTCAAACTTTGGTGTGCATCAGAATCACCTGGTGAGCTCATTAAAACCTAGATTACTGGGTCCCACCCCAAGTTTCTGATTGAATAGGTGAGTGTGTATGTGTGGGGTGTGTGTGTGTGTGTGTGTGTGTGTGTGTGTGTGTGTGTGTCCCCTAAGATTATACATTTGCAATGCGGTCCCAGGCGGCGCTAAAGCTGCTCTTCTGGGACCACACTTGAGAACCACTTCTAGTTCTTGGGTTGAGTTGTGGGTTCACATGTATTCCTTTCCATTTTATTATTAAATGAATATAGTATTTAAATAAATAATAAAAAAGATGGCTTGTTATAGACCAAAGATGAGAGCATGTAATGAAGCAAGGAGTAATATTAATCCAATTCTGGGCTCCTAAGTCATCCCGCTCCAAAAGAGCTAGGGTTCCGTTAGTAAAAGCAAACTTGAAAAAAAAAATGCTCTAAGAACCTCAAGACCATTTAAAAAGAACATTACTACTTTGAGAAATAAATTGGAAAATTGATTCTCCCTTATGTACACAGTGACAACATATTGCATTCCACACCCCGGGATCTAAATGTTTGGCAGACTTGGCACATCGCAAATCTACCTCTTTTGTCGATTCGACAAAAGCGGAGTGTGTTTAAAGATTTCCTTTACTTTTTCAGTTCTTATACTTCCCTCAAGTACCCTAGGTAATTATTTTTCTTCCTCCCTCCCTCCTTCCAGATTGTGTCCACTGGGTTCTGAGAGAAAATTTAGATGATATTTCAGAGCCCTCCGATGATCAGGGCCTATGTAGAATGTCTGTGTCCTGCAGTGTGCCAGCCACCGACTGGGGTTTGAGAAACGCCCTAATACAAAATTCTTGCCCACAAGCAGTTCAGCCTAGTGGGAAAAACAGCTCTGTAAATATAACATTACAACTCAAAGCAGGCCACACAGGATGTTATAGAAAGGTAAAGATTTATCCGCTTTCATAACCTCCCCTAAGCCCAGTTCACCTAAGCTATCAGTATCTCCAGCGCGGGGCAGCACTTCACAGCCGCAAAATCCGAAACCGGCGGAGGGAGGAGGCGCGGGCGCGGGCGCGGGCGCGGCGGCGGAGGACGGACGCTCGGGGCCGGAAGCGGCGGTGCGGCCCGGCTGCGCATGCGCCCCTCACACGTGCTTCCAGAACGCCCACTCCGCCGTTTGGGCCCCGCCGGCACCATGCTGCGGGTTTCTGGCTTGCGGTTGCTAGGACGCGCACTGGCGAGTAGGGTCTCGCTCCTGGAGTACTCTAACCTACGCGTCTATAGTTCCGGTCCTCTGGGTGCCGGCGACGAAGCTCACGATGCGCGCGCTTACTTCACGACACCCATATTCTATGTGAACGCCGCGCCCCACATTGGGCACCTGTACTCGGCGTTACTGGCGGACACCCTGTGCCGCTACCGTCGCCTCCGAGTTCCCAGCCCCGCCGCCACGCGATTCTCCACTGGTACCGACGAGCACGGCCTGAAGATTCAGCAGGCAGCAGCCGCTGCGGGCCTGGCCCCGACCGAGCTGTGCGATCGAGTGTCGGCCCAGTTCCAGCAGCTTTTCCGGGACGCTGGCATCTCCTCCACCGACTTCATCCGCACCACCGAGGCCCGGCACCGGATGGCTGTGCAGTACTTCTGGGGAGTGCTGAAGGCTCGAGGTCTGCTCTACAAGGGGCTCTATGAAGGTTGGTATTGCGCCTCCGACGAGTGCTTCCTGCCTGAGACCAAGGTCACCCGGCATCCGGGCCCGTCGGGGGATTCATGTCCTGTATCTCTCGAGAGCGGGCATCCCGTTGCTTGGACAAAGGAAGAAAACTACATTTTCAGGCTTTCCCAGTTCCGGGAGCCGCTCCAGCGGTGGCTGAGGGAGGACCCTCAGGCCATCACCCCGGAGCCATTCCGTCACTCCGTGCTTCAGTGGCTGGAGGAGGAGCTGCCGGACTTGTCAGTCTCTCGCAGGAGTAACCACTTGCACTGGGGCATTCCGGTGCCAGGGGATGATTCGCAGACCATCTACGTATGGCTGGATGCCTTGGTCAACTACCTTACTGTAATTGGCTACCCAAATGCTGAGTTCAAGTCTTGGTGGCCAACCACCTCACATATCATAGGCAAGGACATTCTCAAATTCCATGCTATCTATTGGCCTGCTCTCCTCTTAGGGGCTGGCATGAACCCACCACATCGCATCTATGTCCATTCTCACTGGACAGTCTGTGGCCAAAAGATGTCTAAGAGTTTGGGCAACGTGGTGGATCCCAGGACTTGCCTTGACCGCTATACTGTGGATGGCTTTCGCTACTTTCTCCTTCGTCAGGGCGTCCCCAACTGGGACTGTGATTACTATGATGAAAAAGTGGTCAAGTTGTTAGACTCAGAGCTGGCAGATGCTTTGGGAGGTCTCTTGAACCGATGCACTGCCAGTAGAATAAATCCTTCTGGGACCTACCCGGCCTTCTGCACTACCTGTTTTCCCAGGGAGCCCGGGTTGGGGCCATCAGCTCGTGCTCAGGCAGACGACTATGCTCTAGTGAGCGCAGTGGCCACTTTACCCAAGCAGGTAGCAGACCACTATGCTAACTTCCAGATCTATAAGGCTCTGGAGGCAGTGTCCAGCTGTGTACGGCAAACTAACGGCTTTGTCCAAAGGCACGCACCATGGAAGTTGAATTGGGAGAGCCCAGTGGATGCTCCCTGGTTGGGTACTGTGCTTCATGTGGCCTTAGAATGTTTGCGAGTCTTTGGAACTGTGCTCCAGCCTGTCACCCCAAGCCTAGCTGACAAGCTGCTCTCCAGGTTGGGGGTCTCTGCCACAGAGAGGGGCCTTGGAGAGCTCTATTTCTTACCTCGATTTTATGGACTTCCTTGCCCTTTTGAAGGGAGAAGGCTGGGACCTGAAAGTGGGCTCTTGTTTCCACGCCTGGACCAGTCCAGGGCCTGGCTGGTGAAAGCCCAGAGGACCTAGAAACTCAGTTCTTACTGGCTTGTGGTAAAAAAAGCAAATGTGTTACTTTCTTATTTTGCATTTTCAGTTAAGTTATACTGTTTTCTAAAGGGTTCCATCAAATGAGCACATAAGTGCCGTCCCTGTGAAAAGAGGTTTGTAACCTTTCAGTTGCCTACCCCCTACTCTTCAGTTCTGTGTCCATTAACCACTGTCCTTTGCATACCTGTGTCTCTAAGATGTCTCTAGGGAAAGATAAGTAAGAGACAATCTTGCTGATATTATACCTTCTCATTGCGCCTCCTTTCAAACAACAGTTATTTGCCCAGACTACCTCTCATGGCTTGTTTTCTATTGGCCTGGCTTCTGCTGGGCAAATTAGTGTGGGGATTGGAGGCCCCCTACCTCAACTTTTAGTCCTACTTTGTTATATAGGTTGGGTCTCCTGTTAAAAAGAGATTCTTTCAGTAAACCTTTAAAAGTCAGTGTCCTAGACTAGATGATTTTAGCTCACGTTTACATTTTTGGTATTTGAAACCATGACTCCCTGTACTTTGTTAGTTAATAGTTCAATAGTTGTGCTTTGTAACATTACACTTCAACCAGTAGATGGCTCTAGTCTCACACTGAATTACTGAACACAGGTTTCAGAGTCTTTAGGAGGCCAATGCCTTATCCAATAGGCCACCGGGGCAGTTTCAGAGTCTTTAGAATAAATTAGTTTTCTGCTTTTCTAATTTTGCAGAATTCACAGAAAATTTTTATTGCTTTTCTTAATACAAGGGATAACTGCAACCACGGCTGTTTTACAGAAAACAATAAAAAAGATCAGAATCCTCCGTTTTTTTCAGACTACTGAAAAAGGACATTTACTCTAAATGTTTAGTAAGCTAATAAATGTATCAAGTTTGTTTGGAATACCTATGATAAATTGTAAAGCTCTCTTGAGGTACTTGGTGTGTTAAAAATTTTAAACTTTAATAACAGATTTAGAGATACGATTTTAAAAAAATCTAAATAGTTCAAAAGGGCATTATTTTTTTTGTATTTCTTAGTCTTAATTTTTTTATTCCCATACGTAGTTTACCGTATATGATTTCTTTTGGTCAATCATCGATACAATATAGAAATTATGGAATAGTTATTGTGAAAGTCAATACATTTAAAGTAGTTTTTACTGATTATTTCTTTTGCTATTTTAACTTGTTATTAAAGTTTAAAAATCTGTAAGTACCTTATTCAGATCTGTTTTGTTGCATTTGTTGAAGGTGATGGTGAAGGAAGGAAATGATCAATGCTCCAAGAATCTCAAACTGGATTTAGGGATTTCTCCAAGGCTCCATAAGAGAACATCACAGAGAAGATGTTAAGGTATCCATTTATACAATGACTGCAACACAGTAAGCCAGCGTTGTATCTCACAGGTGATTGGACAGCTAGGCCAAAGTTTAAAATGAGAACTTGCCTTGAAATATCCATTCTAAGCATGGTAGCAGGTGGAGAGAGCTCATTATGAAGTAAACAATTGTGCTGCTAGTTCCCCGAGAGTTATTCTACGTACTACTACTATTCAGCTCCAGTTTCTGGTTTTTTTTTATCAGTGTGATGAGAAAGTTTTGTTTGCTTGGAAACACTGCTTGAAGGCATTCTAAAGGTGAAAGGGACTGTTTCTATGAATGTTCCTTGAGACCCTCATTATTATTCATAATGGAACCCTGGGCTTTTCATATGACATATTCCAGTTACCTGCTGGGGTTACTAGGGCAGATTACCGGGCCTAGGATGGAGTACAATATCTCCTAGGGCTGGACAGAGCAGAGTGGTGAAAAAGATGGGATGTGTTTACATGGATAAAGGAAAACACTTGGAAAACCAGTGGAATGATAACTAACCTCTGCCCTTTTAGCAGTCTTACAGTTCCTATCATGAATAGAGAGTCAGTGTTTTCTTTCCTATGACCTAGTGCTGGTCAATACACTGGACCTTGGCTTGCTGGGTGTTAATGGAGTTCCTTTTGTGCGTCTGTCATTTGTGCAGGCATTTAACTGGCTATCAGAATATTTGTGGTACTGGAGGGCACAAGAAAAAAGGGGAACCAAAGAGGAGAGGGCATAATTATTACAAAAGACAAGGTATTTTGAATGAAGAGGTGTGGTTTGCTCTGACTTATTCTGTAGTGATACAGAGAGTTGGATTCTCTGTGGGAAGTAAAGCAAATATCCTTTGGGTACTTGATGTTTAAGAATGGCAAGTGAAACTTAAAACTGGAGGGCATGCACTTCCAAGAGAGGGCATTCTAACTACTTCTGGGAGAAGATAATGATGCATTTACAGACATCTAAGAATGCTCCTACTCCAGAACTGGTTAACACCTTATCTGGCATCTTCGGATCCCTTGATCCAAAGGCAGTTTCTCCCAAGTACTACCCCAAGGCTCTCAAATTTTCATTTTAGGTTATTCTTGGAGGCAGTGTTGCAGGAGGCTATGATAAAGCGCTGACCAGGTGTTCACAGGATGTCACGTTATATTAATAAGAAGCTGTCAACTCAGTAGACTACAGTCCTATCTGGGAGTCATGCAAGAAGTTGTGGGCATTGTACATGTTAAGTGGCATCATTGTATGTTGGAGAGCTGCTCCACAAGTGAACTCATAGACTAGGCACCTCTGAAGTTAGAAGACCTGTGGCTATATGGAGGTGAAGAATAGACAGGAACAAGAAATAGATACAATCTTTAATTTCACTGAAATCTCAGTTATTGGAAGTAGGCCTCATCATTTTTCCTAAGGACCTGTGTGACTAGGGGCTGAGAAGAGCCTATTAAATCGACTATTAGGTTGATGCCAAAGTACTCAAGAAAGCCTACCTGGAGCATGGGCCCTGGGGCACAGGTTTTTTTTTTTTTGCACAGTGTACTTGTGATTGGGACATAGGTCTTCAGATTTGGGAAGTTCCAAAACCAAAGTAAAGGCAGCAGTTGGATGACTTATAATCCTAAAGTAGCTTGGGCAGCACGTGGCAGTACCAAGCATTCAACAGATTCCTCCTTGGGCATTATGGTAGGGATGTTTTCCTGGATCTCTGACTGCCCTACCCCTAGTGAGTATGTAGTTGCGCTGTTGGCCTGCATTAGTGTAAACTTGAGTTATGGGGGAGACAGTGCCTCTTAACCAAGATTTGGTTCATAGAGCTGCTGTATGATAGTCTATATTTGCCTCCTGGAGGCAATTCCCCCATAGTTCTACCAGAGATAGAACCACTGTTCTTGTTGGTTGAGGTCTGGATGCTATAAACCTTGGTGGGTCCTTGCTGTCTTTTGCCAGAGTGAATAATTTATCAGTGGACCTAAACAGGTCTGGACATATTGGCAGCCATGTGTCTATTTTTGCAGCAAAGGTTTATTAGTTCCAAGAGCTTGGGGGGTGCTAGGGCACAAGTTAGGGTAACCAAGAGCATAGATTAGGGTGATTGGTTCTAGAAGAAAGCCTTTGAGTCCCTTGCAAAACTAAGACAGTATGAAATGTATCATTTCAGCACAGTACAGCTTGTCCTGCCTCTTCCTCTTACTGGAACTTTGGACAGGATTGGTTAACTTTTATCAATAATAACACACCAAATTTGGAAGTTAATATTGCTGGAAGAGCCACAACAGTAACAACCGAGTTAATGAAGGTTAATTAGTGGGGATTCTAACATTCTGAGAAGACTGTCTTATTCTTTTTTGAGACACAGGATAAAGGAAGCCCAGCCCTAAGATGCTTTCCTCTATCACCAAGAAGTACTTTGAGCTTGAGGGGAAGGGACTAACCCATTTGGTACCAAAATGATACTAACCTCCTTATGCTAGACCACTCCTAAGGCTGTGCCTTGTGCGTGTACCCCGCATTAGTCACTGGTTTGTGCAATTTAACATGAAGATGAATCTTCAAAAACTAGTTTATGATCGACTGTTATAGATTGGAATCATCGTTCTATTCTCTTAATTCAATACATTCAATAAAAATATGGCCAATTACACATTTTTCCTGATTAAAATATTTTTAAAAGAGTAATATCTTTTACTTTAGAACACATTCAGTAATATAGTTTCAGTAATTTGGCTTCCTTTGAAGTAATTGAGAAGTGTCTATTGGTTAAAAACTATAAATATAAAAAATATAAAGTTAACAAGCATGTTATACATTTATATTTAATGTATAATAATACAAATAGAATGTATTTCAAGTCAAATGAAATGTTAAAGAAAACTCAATCCAACAGAAGACAGGAAAGAGAAAAAAGGGCAAAGAAAAATGAAAAATACTTTAAAAGAAAACCCATAAGACAGCAGAAATACAAATATATCAGTAATTGTAATAAAACATCGTAGGATGAATCTTTTGCCAAAAGAGCAATGTTCAAACTTATATTTAAAAAACTAGCTATACGTAGTTAAAAGTTATATGCTTAAACATAACAGAAAATATGACATGAAGAAACACTAGACATATATTAACCAAAAGAAAGCTGGTATCTTAATATTCACAGTAGATAATCTATGTTGAAGGGAAAATCGTTACTAAAGATAAAGTGAGGCTATAAAAGGAATAATACATCAACAAGTTATAAGAATTATGAACTTGTATGATTGAAGAACATAGCCTCAAAATGGAAAAAGCTAAAGCTAAAATTGAAAAGACAGGAAATGTTCAAAAAAATTAAACTGCCTTTCCTGAGTTCAGAGAAACCATGCAATGAGAAAGTAAAAATATAGTAACTTACACTGGACATTAGCACTTCAGTCTTTAATACTCACTACCAAGTATATCATCACTGCTAAGTGTGAAAAAAAAAATGTTATCAGACAAGGTTTTTTTCTTCTTTTTTTTTTTTTTAAGCTGAGCCATCCCGCCACCTGTTGGCAGCTCAGCAGTAACTCAGTTTGGGCTGACTCGAACCGCTGTTGCTTAGAGCTCAAACTCTTGAGCAAGCTCTTAACCAACTGAGCCACTCGGCTGGCTCCTCAGTCAAGGTTTTTTTTTTTTTTTTTTCAGATTTTATTGGGGAATTGAGGGGAGGGGAATAGTGTTGGGGAATTAGGGGAGGGGAACAGACAGGTAGACAAATTGCTGTTTTTTGTTCTTCAGTCTACTTGTGGAGGACATCGCTTCACTGGCCCATGGTATGATCATTGTGT